GTGAAGAAAACATTTTAAAAAAATGTATAAATTAAGATTTGGGAAAATGAACAAATTGGACAGATTCAACAAATAGCAGTCACATTATTAAATTATATTCTACTAATTAATCAATTTAAAACAAAATAAAAACCTCTTTCTCTTAAAAATTACTAATAAAATACAATATGCCTACTTGGATACCAACTTAAAATTGAATTTATATTTTACAGAAAAGGCTAAAATTTATACAGAATACATTTAAAACATATATCACATTATTTATCTGCAAAGTTTCAACAACTTTTAACTATGTATAGTTAAGTTATTAGAAATTTTATACTCTTCAAGTAACACACTTTTAAATGGAGCCTCACATTTTTTTGTTAATATTCATGCGTATTGTTGTGTTCACTACAACATCCTGGCACCATGTATAAATAAAAGACCATCTATGAAGCAGTTAGTTTGTGTAATAGTCTGAGTAAAAGGCTGAGTCAAAGTAGTAAGAGGAGTCATTAAGAACTCTTCCTATTTCCTGTCATGAAAATTGTCTTCATAAGAAGAGAAATCCAAGCAACCGTCTGCAGTTGAAGTAGTAAGAGGAGTTGTTAAAAATCTTTTGTGTCTACTCTATTTCTTATATGAAAATTCTGTTCATAAGGAGAAACTGTACTGAGGTGACACATTTACATATGAGCTCAAAAAGGTTATAAATAGCTACAGATATTACCCATGAGACAGCTGAATGCATCTACATCCTGTTGAGTCAGTAACACTACACTACGCATACTAAAAAGAAAATATTTTTTAAAACACCTCAACAATTTTTTAAATATGAAAATTTCAGACTTCCACTTTACCTGCTTTCTTCTTTTCCTTTCCTTCCCTTTCTCTTTATGGATGAGTTGAATATTTTTATAAGGCCAAATTTTCATTTGTAAATGTTTGTAGATAGATTTGTTCTGGTGATCCAACCTAAAAACTAGTCCTATGTACCTCATGGTTGGTAGTGTCTGTAGTGATATGTAAATGGTTGCCTAATTAGCATAGCTAAGGCATAAACTATAGAAATTTCCAAGCAGTAAGGGTAAGACAGCTTTTGGTATGAAAGATAAATGACTACCACTGGACTGATAAAATATGAAGGAAATAATAATTCATAACAGTGTCCTTCTTGATGTCATCTACGATTCAGGAAAATAAAACATAAGAAATAATTAGGGATTCTGAAAAAAATCTTTAGAAATATATCATTTCTTTTCAAAGCCCAGATAAGGCACAAGTTGACTTCAGTCATCTTTATCTGTTGTGGGTTTAAAACAAAGTGAGTTTAGTGCATGTTGTAATCTAGAAAAAGTTACTGAATGAGGAATAACCAAAATGGCGGTTGGAAATGAAATGGTAATCTTTATAATATCAACAAAATACAATACTCGCCAGCGGAGTGAAGTAGGTAAACCACTGAATAATGAAGATGTTAATTTTTCCCACAGATAAAAGGTTTGAAAGGAAACTCCCATCAATAGTAGAAAGAGTTGAAACAGTAAATATCATAGTCTAATTTCTGGAAAAACATTTTATAAATTTCAACAATGGTCAATGAATGCCGAATGTTTTCTTATAAGGAAATGGTTAATGTTACAATTACCATAGGTATTCATTGTAAATGAATTTTACTATAGGAATGCATTGCAAATGATTCTTTTTACTATAGGAATGCATTACAAGTGAGTTTTGCTATAGCAATGTATTGTAAATGTTTTTCTGTAAGAATGTATTACAAGTAATTTTTGCTATAAGAATGCATTGCAAATGATTTTTTATGATAGGAATGCATTGCAAATGACTTTTAATACAGAAATGCATGACCAATCATTTTTTCCTCTAGACACATCGCAAATGATTTTTTACTGTAAAAATGCATTACAAATGATTTTTTACTATAGAAAAGCTTTGCAAATTATTTTTTTACTATAGGAATGCATTGCCAATGACTTTTAATATAGAAATACTTTGCTAATTATTTTTACTATAGGAAAAGGTGTATAATATTTACTAGACTTAAGAAGCCTCTTTTCCTGAAAAACTGTCTTCAGAAAAAGATTTTTAAAAACTTTAATGACCAGTAATGTTAATTGTTTGGCCAATGAATGCCAAAGGTTTCTTGTATAGATTCTGCTAATTTCACCATTACACAGCCCAAAAATAAATTTGATGTTTGGCCAGATTTTTGAGAGTAAGTCATGCCAAGAACTTTACAGTAATCTCCTCCTACAAGCAGTGTCAAAGTTAACATATTCATTTATATACTTATTTTGTTTATGAAACATTTTTGTTTATTCTTATCTAAGTAATGTTTTCTGCTTTCTTCATTTACTTGGAATCTTCATTGCAATTTCTCACCAAGATCTAGACATACATATTTTTGGTAATCTATAAATATTAACTTAACTTCAAAGTGATAAAATTTGGTATATAGTGTGTGTCTGTTCTAGTGAGTAGGCCAATTCTGTGATGCAAACAGGAGGATTGACTTCAAAACAAGGTCTCTGCAGACAAAAGGAACCAACTCCAACACTGTAAAGCATAGAATATATGGTCCACCATAAATTGCTGTTAAATAAAATTGCAATCTTTTCTCAACAGTTATGGACATTGCACTGCCTGCCACTTTAAGTGAATCTTTAATTGAACTCATGAATATTCATCAGCTAATAGTATTATAATGATTGCACTCATAAATGCTTACTTTTTGCATTGCAAATGGCCACCTATATGTGAAGCATTCAAAACACTGTGCTCATTTAGCTTCAGGAAATTTATCACAGTGTATCACCCCTATATAATACAAGAAAGGACTTTGCACACAATATCACACCAGACCAAGGGAAACAGGTGCAGGGTTGATCTGAAGTGGCCACTCAGCCAACAAGTGCAGAAACATGTGACCAGACCAGCTATACCTGGGTTGCAAGTGTGGGAATAAGGCATATGACAGAGAGAGTTATATACAAACTCACCCAGTAGTAAGTAAAGAGTCTCTCAGATATCACAGATGAGAATGTAAGCTGAAGCTATATGTATATATATACACACACAGAAATATATATGATACCAAATGATTAAATTATGATTATAAACCAAAATAATATTAAAATGTAAAAAAAACCTCCTGTTTGATCCACTAGTCCCCTGATGACCCTAGAATTAAATATATACAATTACAAATGAAAATAATATTTAAATAGATAAAAAATACTTTTGTTTCACACATTAAAAACTCACATATATAATCATAGTCTATTAGAAAAACTTACTAATTATTGGTGTAGTGAGGCACCATTTTCATATTTATTTGGCATAGCTAAATCTGACACAGATGGACAAGGACTGAACTCACCACTGTATTTACGGTCTGTGAGTTCAGAATTTTAACTATTGCTTTATGACAAAGTTATATAGTCCTGTATTTGTTGGGTTCGTAGTATAATTACTTAGGTTAATGAAATCCTGTAATAGTTTGTAAGATGAGTTGTTGGTAATCTTACTTATTATAAAACACAGATTGTGTGTGTGTGTGTGTGTTATTTCAACAAAACTTCACAGGACTGTGTAAAATTACCTTGCTGACAGCACCAAAAATTGGGAAAACACAATTGTTTTTGCACAAAATCAATTTGAAAACACGATTAAGTCACCAGAATGAAAGGGGGACATATTTAGTTATACTCATTATAAAACCCAGGTTGTTTGTGTGTGTTCCTTTATATATGGGATCGGATTTCCTACATTTTTCAACTGATTTCAACAAAACTTCACTTTTTTTGGCAGGTAGTGTTTCTTATTGTCTTGCACACTTTTTTCTTTATTTTTACATTCAGAATGCTTTAAAAATTCCATTTACAAGACAATTGTTTATAATAAAATTCTATTCAATCGATAGACACATAACGATTGAAAACAATGTTTTTGTTTGAGTTTGGGTTTGACCAATTCGTTACCCCCCCCAAAAAAAAAAACAAAAAAACAAAAAAAAAACTAATTAAGACATGCCTGTCCGTCAACCTTAAACAATAATCTTTGTCAATTTTATTTTTCAGTCTTTATGATGGTCGATACTTGATCTATCTCTTACTGTTACATCCCCGGGCAACACCGGGCTCTACTACTAGTATTCAATATTTTGTACTTATTACTTTTTCAATTTCCACAATTTTGCACCTGTACTGTCACCAAATATATCCTTGTGAATTTTGTCAGGTGAAGAGACTCATTGTTAGGCCTGTTAGTCCATTGTTAGTCCTGTACTAGATTCAAGGTAATATTACTCACTAATACTACTTGTGTAAATGAAGCAATTGAAATTAAGAGGGAAGAAATCCTAGTCCAAAATGAATAGTGTTTGACGATGCTTCATCTAATAAAAATTCTAGATAATAATACTAATACTACTATTGGAAGTAAAGTAATTAAAATGAAGAAGAAAGAAATCTTAATCAAAAATGAATAATGCTTGACAATGGTTCATCTCATAAAAATTCCAGATAATATTACTAGTGCTAATACTACTAGTGGAAAAAAAAATTGAAGTTAAAAAGAAATAAATCCTAGTTAAAAATTAATAATGCTTGACAATGCTTTATCTAATAAAATTTCTAGATATATTGTGACTAGTGGAAATTTTTTTTAATTTCAGCATTTTCTCTCAATCTCATGACTAAGATGGCTTTGACAGTATTTAAATCAGTTAAACTTTTTATTATTTATCTGTATCTATAAATGGCATTCTGTTAGTGTGTCTGTGTGTTTGTCACCTTGTTACCTCATCCTGAGTAAACCATTCATCCGATTGGCATGAAAATTCACACACAGATCAGAAATTTATGGTATTTGTACTTGACGTCTTCAGATTTTTCGATTGTTCCTCTGATTTTGGGAAAAATCGATAAAACTGAAAAGGGGGGGTCGATTATTGATTTGAAAAAACTTCATCAGGAATGCACAACGGTTGAGAATTAATGCACAGGCTGCAGCAACCGACTCTGCATCTCGGGCTTCCGAGACTCATCACCAAAGGCTCCTTCGTAATGTAAGAAACGCTGCTGACACTGCAAAATCATGGGCAATAGAGATATTTGACTGCAGACGTGCCTGTCAATCCAGGGACACTGCTGCAACAGCGAGCACTAGGGCTGCTGAAACACCGCTCCATAGGTCTGTGCGAAATGCTACGAATGGTGCCACCACTGCCAGGTCGAGGGCAGTAGAGACACCTGCCCACAGACGCACCCGTCAAGCCAGGGATGCTGCTGCAACAGCGACCGCTAGGGCTGCTGAGACTCCCTCCATAGATCTGTTCGAAATTCTATGAATGCTGCCACCACCGCCAGGTCGAGAGCAGCTGAAACATTCAACTGCAGACAGGCACGTCAATCCAGGAACACCTGCTGCACTAGCAACTGCTAGGGCTGCTGAGACACTGCTCTGTAGGTCTGTTCGAAATGCTAGAAATACTACCACCACTGCCAGGTCGAGGGCAACTGAAACAATTGACCACATGCACACTCGTCAATCCAGGGATGCTGCTGCAACAGCTAGGTCGAGGGAGCCTAAGACAGCTGCAGCGGGCAACCCGCAATGCCCGCAACGCTGCAGCAACTTCTGCCGCCAGAAACTATAAGGGCCCACAGACAAGGGCAAACAGACTTTCATAGGCTACTACAAACATGGCGCTAAAAAATATCTCAAACTCCCAAGCTTACAAGATATGTCTTGACTTCGAAAATAATTACACCTAAGCCGCCCATGGTATTACCTGTCCCAGTAGCTCTTTTTGGTCTTTCTTGGCTTTCAATTACGAACCCGGCATTAACTTAACTATGCATGACGACATCAATATAGGGTCCATGACCTGCATTTGCCAATTCTGCAATGCCCGCAAATTTCTGCCGGTCTGTGCTGCTCATCTGGCAAAGTTTGACTGCCATGTCTGCATGAACCACCTACCCCGCTGAGGGAACTAATAGCCGGCTCCCATCCCGACTCCAACCACTTCCTTAAAACATTTGGGGCTCAGGTGTTTCGAGAAGAGGGTTGGATGCCCACTTTCAAGTACAAGGGCAAGTATACCACTGCATTGGGTCTCTGCTGCCTGAGGAGACCTCTACACCTAAATTCCTTCAACTGCACTTTATTGCAGACTACAACCTACAGGCCGAAACCTGAATTGGTATTTTTCCGCCGTCGGGAAGAGTACCTCGCAGGGACGTCATACTACTACTACTTCAGACCATGCTTCACGAGGTTAACAGCTACATTTGCAGTTTTAAATATGCTTTGGAAAATGCTTCCTTTCCTTCCTTCAGCATTGTAATTGACGCTGACAAACAGCCTCATTGATGAACACAAACACCACTACAATGCTCCTTTTAACAAAGTGGCTGCTATTATACATATAGCAAAACCGCTTTTAAAATATTGTCCTCAAATCAAGAGGCGGCGCTCTTCACAGGATTTCAGAGACCTATCAATCATATGACGCATTGCAGTACCTTTACTTTTCCCTTTATGGTGACGATGGCTACCACTTATTCCCCTTCATGCTCCGGTGGCCAAACCACAACGTCTTCCAAAGCCTTATTGTAAAAGGCCTTCTACTCATACCGGTTCATGGTTAGGGATGGAGACTTCAACCTGCTTCATAGATTCAGGGAGTTTTTCCACCAGTTTGCGGTTGACATGGCCGCTAAGATGGAATCGGAGAGGCTTTGTTTTATGCAGAATCATCAGAAACAGCTGCACTCAGACTCCTACGTACACTTATGCGACAGCCTTTGAAATGAAGTCAATCGCCGTGACCTAGGGAAGTTGTGCATTCTGCCCTCTACCTACACTGGGGGGGGGTTACATGCATGAACGCACGCAGGACAATATGACATATGTTAGGCAATATGGACGGCCAGACTTATTTATAACGTTTACCTGCAACCCCAAATGGGTTGAGATAACGTGTGAACTCCTACCCAGACAAGATTACACTCACAGGCATGACATTACAGCCCGCGTATTCTGCTTAAAACTGGGAAAACTCATGGACTTAATAGTGAAGGGGTGAGTCCTACAGTGAAAATGTAACTACTATTTTACATTGCCAGAATTAAAAATCTTGACCGATAATAAACGGGTGGCAGTCTTCGGATAAGCACAGAGCAGCAACACAGCAGTCACCTACTGCCACCGGTTGCACTTGATCTCATTGATTTTGCTACCAGTGAGATTCCCGGTCTATCAGTGACCTCAGCAACTGCGGATATGTGCAATAATTCAAACCCTAAAGCAATTTAACTATATAAAACCCCGAGCAACACCGGGCTTTACTGCTAGTTTTTACTAAATTTAATCCAATGCAAGCCTTGAGCACAACTCAAGATAGAGGGTTACAGTCAAAATGTGTGATAGGAATGAAAGAGGAGGTGGTAGGAAGTGAAGATTATGAGGATAAGGAGGATAGATAATGAGTGACCCTTGACTTGAAGAGGTTATGACTGGGGTGTTCAGGAAAGCCCCCATGCAGGAGTCTGTTCTACAAAATGGCAGTTTTTAGGGACAAACTGTATCAATGGAACTTTCTTCTTATATTTCTAACATGGAGGAAATGATGTTGATTCAACTCCAAGGAAGTGGCATGACATGTCCTAGCTGGAATTGTCTGAGCAAGTGGAACTACAGAATAGGGCTCATTTGAACATTTGTCATGGAAATAGCCATAGAATAGCAACAATCTTTCAATGTTGCATCTGTGGAAAAGAAGTTTCAGAATGGAAAATAAGTCTTAAATGATTTTGAACTCAATCAAGGCTTGAAAGTGAGGATTGAGCAGCTCCAACCCAGATATGGAAGCAATACTCCATTTTTGATTTAATCTGATTCTTCGAAATATGAAGCATGGCAGAAAAACTCTATCAAGGCTGAAAAGTTAGGATTGAGTTGCTCCAGCTGAACTCACAAACTATTATTACTATTGTAACTTTTATACTCATTTAGTGTCTCACCACTGTTGCCTGTAACGAAGGCAAACAAAACTTATTAAAATAACTTTGGTAGATGCCCCATTGACTAATGAGTAGGAATCTGGTCTCACACACCATTACCACAATAATGAATTCAGTCCTTATTACACATCCCATATTTATTAAGATTAAATTTAATTTGGTTAAACTTTGGGTGCCAGTTATAGTTCATGCTGGCTGCATCTCCTGCAGAGGGATAAGATACACTCCCAAAAGGAATCACCTTCTAGAACAGCTTTTCAAACTGTGGACCTGTGAGATAAAATGGGTCGCAACAAAAAAAGAAAGAAAAAAATATGAAAGTGAGAGCAAAGTGCAAAATATAAACAACTTTAAATGTTGCACATAAATCATTGCTAGTTTTTCACTGAGTTAAGCTTGTATTATATTTTATCTTTTTTAAAATATAATTTCATATATATATATATATATATATATATATATATATAGTACAGGTAATAAATCTGTTAGTATATAATCCAAGTGGATCCTAATAATATAAAATATTAAAACTGATCCACAAAAAGAGCTCAATGTATTTATTATAACAGATCATATAAATTACATAATAGAGAAATCCAAAATTACCTCATGAGTATAGACTATTTCAACTAATGTCAATGCATCAGCTTTATTTAACTCAAATTTGAGTTGATGTTAGTTCCATTTCATCCTCAAGTGAATTTTGGAGTCCAAAATTCACTTGAGGATGAAATGGAACTAATGTCTTTAATTTAATTACAAAATTAAATTCTAAGCTTTTAGCTTCCATTTTTGAAACATGGTTAGAACTGTGTAGCGAAAAAACAGATTTTAAATCAGTTAATTTATAATATTAATGCTCTGTAAATTTACATTGAGCACTATTTTGTAAAAATAAAAATATCTTTAAGAACACCAGATTATATATCTTACTGTTCTTTCTTTTATTTATTTATATATATATGTGTGTGTGTGTGTGTGTGTGTGTGTCTGTTCTCATTGAGGTTATATATCTTATTTTGTTGCAGACTGAGTGACAGAATTTCCTTTAAATTTTTTTTCCAAAAGTAATAAGTTTATATTCATACAAATAGATACATGCAATTCTAATGTGTGCGGATCATAAGAAATATAAATTGTTGATGCTAAAGAAAAGGAACCTAGTGAACAGTTTGTTTTTCATGTTTTACACGTAGGTATAATGGATCACAATGCAAAATGCAGTACTTGCTGTGGATCACAGTAAATGAAAGGTTGAAAAATGCTGTTCTAGGAGATACTTGCAGATACAAATATAAACTTAATCAATGGCCTACCTTTTTTTACTCTAGTGTAAACTGGACCCTTATGTACCCTTTTGACTCTTGGGTAGGCTTGATCTAAGTCTACCTTTTGACTCTTGCTTAAATTGGATTTATTAATTGAACATATTAACTTATGAATTAATTGCCATAATTCCCCATGTATAATACGCTTTCATCCATAATATATAGCTCTAAAATTGTGCTGAATGTGTGTGAAAATGCTTCTATCCATGCTCAATATGCACCTCTTGTTTGGTAATCAAACCCTTAAGAATTGTACCTCTCCAATTTCATTATGGCCAGTGTTTCCTACTCTTATTAAAAAAAATGCTTTTAAACTGAATAATATTATTATAATTTAGTTTTATGATAGCTCTTATTTTATTTTAGGTTTGTAAGTATTGTTAGGTACATGTGATTGTATTTGACATCCTTATGGGGTCGTAATCACCAAATGTTAGTGTCAGATTGTCATATGTTTGTGGTGAGTAGTCATTTCACAACTGAAATCAACCTATGAAACGGCAATTTTTTAGAGATTTTTTTTGTAGCTTTGCATAATATGCATCCCTAATTTTGCTTATTATTTTTAGGAAAAAAAAAACTGTATTATACATGGGGAATTACAATAATTGTGATTTTTGTCCAATGAGACTTATATTTAACATTCCCAACAAGGGTTGACATACCATTAAATTAATCAACCTAACTTAACAGTTTAACAGGAGTTCTTATTAAAATTCTTTAATCTAGCTTTTTAAACCCATACTTGTCCTTTAAAAAAATTTAAAATTCTGACAATCAGTGATTGTGTCTCCATGGATTGTTTGAGAAATGCAGATAAAAATCATTGTCTCATGTGCTGTGCAACACAAAAAACAACTTTGTAGAGGGTGCCCACTAAAAAAAATGGCAAATTTATTATCAAGTAATTAACCTTGAATAACCTGAAATAAATTTCTTCAATATTCATTACCTTGAATAATCATTCGACTCTCATGTAATTATTTAACTCTAATTGGTTATTTTATGATTAATTAATTGCTGCTCGATCTTGTGACTTGTCATTTAAAGGTTATTTTCAGACAACTTTTGCGTTTCATTCTACCCTTCTTGTATGGCGAAAAAACTCACTGATTTTGAGCGTCATGTTATCATACTTTTCAAAGAAGAACATCCAACATGGGGATTGACGAAGTGTACAGAAATTCTTCCTGGATTTTTCAGTTACATTGGTCATCTCCAGTTTTCAATGGTTGTCTCATGTCTTTCTGAATTTACTGCTTTTTTACTGGGCACCCTGTACTTCTGAGATTGGTTGTTTT